CGTCGCGGGCGCGAGCAGCCTTAACTAGGTCACCAAGCCCCGCTTTGTTGAAGCCAAGGCAGTCGAATCAAATGTTACGTTCGAAATCTTCGAGCCTCTCTCTTCATTAACGAAGAGCAAATGGGTAGATTTATTTGGAAACGACTGCCACTCAGACTTCTTCTAGTAGAGGATTCTTTTTACAATCGTACGAAATGACGTTTTCATAGAAAAGCTTGAACAAGGTTCGGCATGGATTTTACATTGCCACCCGAGCTGGAACCTTCAAAAGTGGATTCATTCGCCGTAGGAACAAGGATAAGTTCATCATATTTCAGCAACAGTTGTCAAGTTTATATTTCTGATTTAAGTGGTCTATGGTGTTGAGAATCTCTCCCACCTCCAGGTTTAGCATAGGTTAACTGTTTTATATAATTTAGTGTGTAACTTAGTATTTTAACTCTACCCTGATGATTAGATGCCTCTGTGTACAAAGAGTCGATCGAAAATGTTTGATCAAGCTGGTCAAAAATCACTGCGCCAATCAGAGTCAGTAAAGGTGATCTTTGTATATTGGTCGGTCGAGAGTGAAGTCATGTTCAACGTCATCCTAAGATAGCAGATAAAAAGCAGTTTCAATCCATAAACTTCAAGGTGCGATGACAATATCTGGACTTCATAAAGGCAAGATAGGGAAAGTTGCAGAAGCATTAGACAGAAGGAATAATAGGTCTCGTTACACCATGTTTCACTGGCAATGTCAGAGTTCTGGAGTTATAGGACTTGAAAAATGTTTCATTCTGACTAAAAAGTGTGTTCTTAAATCCCTATGAAACTTGTTGGCTACATGTGCATTTTCTTCAAAACTCTTCAAATTGCTATTTGACAAAGTTTTATGCGAATATGTTCTAAGCAATCTTCCATTTGATTCACTTTCAACATAGCGGTTAGGTATACGATATATATACGGCACTGCAGAGAAACTTGTCAGCACGTTTTCCACGCAGACTACTGTACGTAGCTTCAGTGAACGAGCAGGAAATGCCATGTTATTTATTCATTTGTGAATATATTCTAGTATGAGATGATATTACAAAAGGAGAGATAGAATAGTAAGTGGCATACACTGCGTTTAAGCGTTCCGCTTGTTGTAATACCACGTATGCAAATAAAACCGAACAAGTACCAGTACCAAAGTTCACAGCGAATGAGCTCTTGTTTGTAATTTCGGGATATGACCACACCGGCGGACGCGAGAAGTGTGTGCCCTATACTGTGTTCAGAAAAAATCTAGAAAGGAGATGCACTGCTACTATTTCTCGAGACATTGTTCGCTTGGCATTTACTGCTCACTATAGGAAAACTGCCGTCAAAGCTGACATAGTAGCACCATGTACAGTGAAGATTAAGGTGATTATAATCCCATTGCCTACACGAAGCGCAGCAACACCATACAAAATTCAGTCTTACAAGGAAAGGATACCCGGTCACCGTGGCCATTTGGAATGCGATGTATACTGTAAGATGCACTTCGAAACGCTGATTCCAAATCCGTGCTCGATATATGCGAAACGATCTTCTGAAGAAAGTTATGAACTTTTTTCGTAGAAAATTTGCGTACTTTTGTGTAGTTAAAATCACCAAATTTGTTTTAAGTTACCATTCGAAGCTATTGAAGAGAATCTTAAAAGGAATACTGTTGTATTATATCTATTTACCCAAATCATATTCAGCATTTGAAAAGGAAAGAAAATTTTTATTGATGATTTTGACCCTCGGCTGTATCGCAGTTTATTCATGGAAAAATAACCATAACTCCATCCAGATTATCGTTTCGCAGATATGGAAGACAGTATTCAAACCAGCATTAAAAGACGCATTTTTTGATATACTGGCCGCGGTGACCAAGTATCCTTCCCTTGTCAGAACGAAAGCGCATAAGCGTACAAGATACAGATAACGAGCTTGGCGATAGAAAAGTACACTTGCTGCAACGACGTAAAATGTCTTTCGAATCAATGAATCAAATATAATTTCGAAAAATTCTCGAATGACCGGTTCTAGGCAAAATATTCAAATCCCAATTCTCAAATACTCAGCTCTTCAAATGACTCTTCAAACTAAGTTTTCAAGTTACTAACAAGGGATGCGTGTTCAGTCGAAATGGCCTTTCCAGATGAGACCCATACTGCTTTGAAGAGCATTAAGCGGTGATTCCAAATCTGCCAAGCGTTTCTGGACGCCGAGTTAGGTGCGTTTTTCAGGTCAAAAAGTTGAACGCAGAACTGAAGTGAAATCGCCCAAATTTGCTCAAATGGTCCAATGTCAAGTATCAGAGCCGTTTATGCATGCTAATACTTAACATTGCTTTATCTGAGCGTTGAAAAAATTGTAATAATCGATTACCGATTATTACAATTCTTCCATTTCCATCGATTATCGATTATTATAATTTTACCTAGATCCTGCATTCATTTTTCATTCCGATAAACGGTCATAACTCGGCGCCCAGAGGCGCCTGGCAGATTTGGAAGACAGATTTGGAATTACCGTGCAATACTCTTCAAAGCAGTATGGGTATCATCCGAGAAGGTCACTTACCAAGGCCAACACGCTTCCCTTGTGAGGTCCTTTTGGTGTTGTTACTAACACGAATATCTCTGTGTACATGTAAATCGAAAAGAAAAACCAGTACGCCAGCTGTCTGAAGTGCGACAGTTCCTTTCGCCCTTTCCTAGATTGAGAGGAACGAAGATCATCACGCTGCTACCATGTCTTTGCGACAACATCGAAGGCGATGTCGATCATGAATTCGTTCGTCAACGATGTCTTCAGCGCATCGCCGTTGAGGCGTCGAAGCTCGCCCACTATAACAAGCGATCGACGATCTCGTCCCGCGAAATTCAGACCGCCGTCCGCCTGATCCTTCTCGGAGAGCTCGCCAAGCACGCCGCCTCCGAAGGCACCAAAGCCGTCACCAAGTACATCTCCAGCAAGTAAATCTTTCGCTGCCTGGTGCATGCACAGAATTCCCGAACGGCCCTCTTTAGGGTCACATCCAAATCGATGCTTTTTTTTGTTTTACTTGGTATAAAAATCGTTGTTCTAATTTCCGAGGCTAGATAGGTGTACACACTCCATAACCACTATGCTTGTGAAATGTAGATTAGCGCCCTGAACAGTACTTCACGTTTTTGGATGATCCAATGATGCAGGGAATCGTCAAGCGCGTAAGGGAGCTTTCAGACCGCGCCAGATGCCGATTTTGCAGCCGTTAGCCGCTTTCGCGCCGGTTGCCGCTATTGCGGTCAAGCGCAGTGGGTCAAGACATTGTCTCCCTGGCGCGCATGCGGCGCGAAAACTCATAGATCAACCTATTTTTTAGTATTTTTTTATATTTTTTTACTGTTTTTCTGTTATAGCTGGTTTCGAGGTACAGTCTCTGGATAGTAACTGTATTAGGACTTGTACACCGCTACTGAGGACAAATGCACTAAGTATTCCCTATATTTACCTGGAGTTTATAAAGTGGACTGTTTGTTGCGTTTTTTCTTAGTTTTTATTGATCTCAAGTCCTATTTTTTGTGAGTGATGGGGTTCAAAGAGCTAGCAAATTCATGATGATGCATGGGGTAAGCATGGAAAAACCGCATCACCCATAACAAATATGAAACTTGAGCTAAACACAAAAACAGAAAGAAATAGCGAAGAACACCGCAAGTAAGTAACGTGTTTACGTTCAAGCCTAATGTTTGCTGTGAGTGATGCGGTTTTTCCCTTGGGTCAATGCATCATCATGGATTTGCACCAATGGTCTTCACAATTGCATTCAGCTTTCTAAACCGCATCACTCACGAAAAGCACAACACTTGAGCTTGACTTGAGGTTGGTAAAAACTGAAAAAAAAGCGATGAACAGTCTACTTTGTAAACTCCAGTTGAGTGTAGGCAATACTCAACGCATTTGTCCTAAATGGGGATGTTTTTTGTTTCTTGAAGCAACCATTATCCAAAATCTGTACCTCGAAACCAGCTTAAAACAGACAAATTAAGGAACAGACACGAAGCGCAGAAAAATAGATTAGTCAATGCTTTTTGAGCCGCATGCGCGCCAGGAAGACAATGTCTTGCCCACTGCGCTTCGGCTGCAATAAACCGAACGCCCGTAAAAGGGCTCGGAACTGGGAGGAGTTGCAGGTGCGCTCCATTGCCATTTCGATTAGAGCACCTCTTTTCAACTGGAGCGCACTATCTCCAAACACTTGACGTTTGACACATTTGAGCCGTTCGTAGATGTGGCGATGAGTACGTGTATTTTCTTTTGCATACTTATGAAAATTTGGAATGTTACGTACACGCTATGTCAGAGAGTCAAAAACTACTTCGCTGTTGTCAAATTGTTTCCCTGATTCGTTGATGCTCTTCCGAGTAGGAGACTTTTCGCTTCATTGAACATCCCGCTTGCAGAGAAGCATAGCTTGGGGCAGACATATCAATATTATACACTATATATTATCACTGATGAAAGGATATTGATGTATTATTGCAATGCATAGCTCTCACTAAAGTCATGAGACTGACTAAAGAGGATGTTATTGCTGTTTCGCGATGATAGAGAGCCGAACAATGTAATCTGTCATCACATGAAGCGCTCATGTGCATCGGGTTCAATGGTTATTATGATTGTACAGTTTCTTTTCTGGTTGTTTACACCAAAATGGGTTCGCAGATGTCTATACGTGATATTAGCATCTGGTAGAGATCGTAGATGCTGTTCTCCGATTGCCTTTCTCGATGAAGGTGATTCGTTCACCATCAACGAATTCTACTGATGAACATCAAAGGTAATGCAAACGATACAGGGTGATAATTGATAAGTTGTGGAAGAAGGAAATTGCACAACATAGAAGAAATTTACTTGAATCTGGTTGCACCCTGAGCAAAAATTGTGAACAGGAACGAGTTCTTGGCTACTTTTAAAGCACAAAATCATTCTGATGATAACGTTGATTTCTTAAAGTGCTAGGCACTATAGCAATTTTCGGCTGCGTCGTGCGTACCAACCTAGAATTGAGTACAGTAACATATTTTCGTCGAAGAGAACACTAGGTAAGCCCTTCTTTGTAAACTGCATTGAAACTAACGCCTATTCAAGCGTCAAATCAATGTGCAGCTACCGCTTCAAATTGAAGATTGGACAAATGACCTTCTTTAAGTTATTTGTGAACTCTGAGCCAACTTTGGCGAACGATGCTAGCTGTAACAGCTCGACAAGTATAGCTCCACAAACAAAGCAGCCCTCCATGAGAATTCCGCTAAAGTATTCGAATAAGTGCAGAACATATCAAATGTCAGCTTGATCATAATAAGTGTGGAAACGAACAATAAAATGAAACGTACATTGGAATCACTTACTTTTTGGAGTTCAAATTGAAAGTCCAAAACTGTGCGTGGGACAATCGATCACACCAAAAGAAGCATTAGCTCTTCAACATAACGTTTTACAGACGAATTTCATAGAGATGTAAAGTATGTACGTGTACCCATAGCCATATATAGAAATGGCGTCACTGTGAAGTGTTGGAGGATGATGTTGGAAGAGGAAGCATTCGTAACAGCGACTAATCACATTGGTGTAACTAGTTGCGTTACAAACTTCAACAACTTTTTCTAGTTTACCGGATAACATGTACCCATCTCTTCCTCAGTCAATCTCATGACTCGTACTGGCAGCGTTGCAACAGTCATACCGTCGGTTCATTTCATATGATCATGTGTGTCATTGCACACACCGTCCATCTTTGGCGTACCCATCCTGGATTCTTGGAGGACGCAACCCTTCCGTTAAGCGATTCTGATGTTTTCTCGCTGTTTTCTTTTCTTTTTAGGTACTACTAGTTGACTTACCCGGCTCTGCCCGGCCCTGTCATTATTATATTCGTAATCAGCATGCTCGATTACCCCCCTGTGCCAACTCCCAGCCCCGTAGCTCAAATTTTGCAAAAAATCGATAAAATCGATATCGATCGATGACGAAAAGTAGCCTATGACACCCGACGGGGCCCGAAGTGTATGTGTGCCAAATTTGGTCCGGATAGGTTCAGAAATGGAATTTTCTATTCGGAACATACGTACAGACATACAGACAGACAGACAGACAGACATACAAACAGACATTCAGCTTTATATATAAGATTTATCTCTAAATGATGTAAGCGATAGCAATTGCTCACTCTCTCGCGTTTTTGCGATCGCAAATCCGAGATGGGGACGCCAAAGATGGACGGTGTGTGCGGGTGCACACATGATCATATGAAATGAATCGACTGTACATCAGCAATCTTTCATCACCGGTGACACTCCTTGTCAGATGCAAAGTATTTAGAGATAGTGCGCTCCAGTTGAGAAGAGGTGCTCTAATCGAAATGGCGATGGAGCGCACCTGCAACTCCTCCCAGTCCCGAGCCCTTTTACGGGCGTTCCAATAAACCGGCGCGAAAGCAGCTGATTGCTGCAGATGCGGCATCTGGCGTGGTCTGGAAGCTCCCTAACACAGAAAATTTCTTCTATTTGGTTGTAAATCCTGACTGTAGCCATTCAAACCTTATAGAAAACCTTGTTTTCTGTAGATGAAGAGGAAAGAGATCTTTCATAAAGTTCTACAAGGGCAAATAAAGCGTGAAAACGAGCGCTCCTTGGGAGAAGGAAGCGTGCCTTACTTAGTAGTTGCGCGCGCAGACACTGAGCGGCTCGGAAATCACGTATTGGATTGGTGAAGAAGCAGCGTCGTTTTCCGTTTACAAAACTGAATCCAGTTCTCCAATTAGTAAAGACTACATAGTGCACAAATATGAATCAATGGTTATCCTTTTTTCTCAGTATAAAGTTTCGTTTGTGAGATAACCCGTACAATTATCTTTTGATTTCGATTCTCACCCACATCTACACATGTCTGTGGCTCCCGCCGGAGTGCCGAACCCACGCCAGCGCTGCGCCGGCGCCGAGCTGTCGGCGCTGTTTCGATCGATACGTGCATTTCGTTCTGGATGGAATTAGCTGACCTAATTCTCAGCCAGGTATATGCACCGACTATTGATCGAAATCTCTGTCAAAAGCTCCGGTAGCGCTTTGCCGGCAGAGGGTCAGCTAGCCCCGCCCCGAACGAAATGCACGTGTATCGATCGAAATAGCGCCGGAGCAGCTCGGCGCTTGCTCGGCGCCGGCGCGGCGCTGAATTGGCTTCGGCACTCCGGCGGAAGCCTGTATAGGAATACTTGTGTGCTTATTGATCACATCGATTTCTCAGCAAAGTGATTGCGTACTATGCACTCTATGCTAGACCAACATTTTCTATGGCCAACTGAGAACCAACTTCTGCTACTTGTTAGGCAATCAACACACTGTCAAACCTTCAAGTGCTTTTTATTCAATCTCGGTGACATGGCTCGACTGTTCACTATTTTATTTATATTATTTTTATTTTATGCATACACTCGTGGTGCATCATTAAAAAACCGAACGAACAGAAAATCAGGCAGCACAGAATCAAGACAAAGGATCAGCCAATCCTCATTCACAGAAGGAAGAAGAGATATGAATGGAAGACAAGACCAAACAAAACAAACCGAAGGAAAAAGCGCTATGTCCAGAATATATAGAATCTTGCTTCTTCTAAAGTTAATGAAAACCCTGTTTTTGGGTGTAAGCGAGCTCCCCGGTAAAAGCTAGCTGACTTAGCACCGGCTGAATAGTTGCTTTAGAAGAGAGCAAGATTCGTTGGAAGTTGTAGGGATGAACATCTACCACCTTTGCGCGACTGATATCCGCCAAAGGAAGGGATATGATGTGAACTCAAGATTCTGATGGATGAGGCTGGTTGATCTGATCATTAGTGGAAGCACTATGGTTAGTAACAAAACAAACAATGCAAATAGCAGTCATTCTCTATCCTTGTTGTGGACTATCCAAGCGAAGCGAACCAGAAAGCATAGCACCAAATGATAGAAGGACGAACTGAGGCAGCGCGAAGAACGCAAGCACCACATTTGAACAAGACTCATCTAAAAATCAGAAATATCAAGAAGCTGAAGCAAATTTACATCTTACAATTTTTTACGAAAAATTTTTGAGTTTTCGCTGGATATGATATGATTTGGTAATGCAGCAAACCATCTAGATGTTCGATAGGTGAAGGAATTGAAAGTCATCAAAAGATGTTTTCTTCCTAATTTGCGATATTGCAAACCAAATCTACCTGTTCGGTCACTGCACGGTCTAAAAATCCAGAATTTACTGGCTTTTAGGTTAGTTTCTAAATTCAGATTCCGAAGGCATAGTACAAGTTCGTTAACAACACACCTATACTTCAGACTATGTAGGTGTAGCATATCGAGACGGGTACGATAGGAGGGTAAGGCATGAGGATATCCTGGATTGGGAAAGCATCGATAAAAAGAATTCTCACGCAGGTCTTTTGAATTTTTTTCAACTTTATCGAAGTTTCTGTTTGAAAATGGACTCCAATTGGGCGATGCATACTCGAGATGAGGTAACACGTAACTTTTGTACAGTCGCAAGAAAATTTGCGGATCATTACTATGTATATTTCTAAAAATTGCAAAAAGCGTTGAAGACAACTTTGTGATGACAGTATTTATATGAGTATCAAAAGTAAGAGAATTATCTATCACAACGCCAAGATCGCAAACTGAATTAGAGATTTCCAGATGGATGCCATTGTAGTTGTACGTACAACACTGGGAATTCCCAAGGTAATTACCGTAGTCTTGGAGGCATTTACAGTATCTCCCTTCTTTTTATGGTCTCTTCAGTGTCACGGCGGTCTCTTCATATTTTTTATGGATGAAGAGACCGCCGTGAATGCTTCATCTGTTGATTGAGGCTGTAGCAAAATTATATTTTAATGTCATCTGCAAACATCTGAATTTTCAGATTCGGATGGCTTTTCAGGTAGTTAAGCAATTCCGCGACGTAAGTAAGGAAAAGCAACGGCGAGAGATTGCCACCCTGGGGTACGCCACTACTACAATGATAACGATCTGAAAATTCTTCTCCAACACGAACAGTCACTCCCCTATCATGTAAGTAAGATGCTAACCGAGACAGGAGAGTCCCTCTTATGCCGTAGTTTTCTAGCTTGCATAGGAGTTTGCTATGATTTACCTTATCAAAAGCTTTTGAGAAGTCGAAGTATATGATGTCCACCGATTGTCCGTTATTTAAGGCACTTATCCAATCAAAAGTAGAACCAACCAGTAAGGTTGTGGTGGAACAGTTCAAATAAAACCCGTGTTGTTCAGGAGGAAGGATCTTACTTTTATCAAACCAGTCATAAATCTTAGCTCGTATTATTAATTCAAGGATTTTTTCCCGCAGGAGGCATTATGCTTATGGGCCGATAGTTTGACAAGGGGTTCTGTTGCCCTTTTTTGGGATAGCAGTAACCAGAGCTTCTTTCCATATTTTTGGCACCTTGGCAAATTGTAGAGATATTGGGAATATCAATGAAAGGGGAAAGGACAATGTTCGTGCACAGTTCCTATAAACAATCTGAGGAATTCCATCATATGTGGATGTTGCATGAGCTTTCAGTCTTCTTAGAACTTCGTATACAGTATCAGGATTGACTTGTATCTCATCACACGTTGTAGCAACAAAGGTGACCTTTGGAGACAAATTTGATAGATCCTGGTTCTCAAAATTATCATTGTCGAACACCCTGGCAAAATATCTTCCCAGAGCACTAGCCTTCTCTTTGTCGTTCCTGAGAGATATTCCATATTCATCCACCAAAGTCGGTAGTTTGGTATTACATTTGGTTCTATATCTGAGATATCGAAACAATTCTTTGTTGCCCGGCTTGCGAGCCGAAGCTCATTACTTTTCAAAAACTTCTTGGGATGATATTTCCTTTACAAACTTTCTGGTACAAATGATTCGTAAGAGGATCAGGGAGGATAGAAAAAAGACGATTTTCTGCTCAATCAAGTTTTGAATGTGTTGAGGATAAGCATGTAATACAGTTTTTTTTAAAGGTAAAAGGAACAATTTTAGCAAGTACACCGTAAATGACCAAACAGAAACAATTATATAGATCATCGACTGATTCAAACCCACCAAAAATATCCTTCCAGTTAAAATGCAGAAGTGCCTTGTTTATCTGTGTGTAATCAGCTTTATAGTAATTGGTAAATGGCAGAAGTAGTTTTTCACAGATGAGAAGTTGGTACCAAAAGCTATTACATTGTGATCGGAAGTACCGAACGGAGGAAGGGACTGTAAATTTATGACAGTATTAGGAGTAGAAAACACTAGATCAATGGCACTTCTACCTCTAGTTGGAATGGATACAGTCTGAATAAGGTCACTGCCTAGGAGAGCACCAAGGAAACGCTCATCTTGTGTTGTCTTTAGAACATACCCTCGATACATAGAGCCACGTACTCTGGTAACCTTCACTTTGAGGGCTATGAGTGGACATAACCTTCACCTGGAATAAAACAAAAGTCATCTGGGGCTTGCCCTAGATGTTATTATCCTGACTATATCGGAACGTATGTTAGTGAAGCAAATATAGGGAATAATATCTCTAGCTTATTTCAGCGAAACCGAGAATTTGCGTTTTCATACCCTTTTTTAGGTTAAAAAGAAAGTTTCTGTGCAATTTTCGCCAGAATTCAGGACAAAATTTTCTCAGTTAACCTCTCATTTAACCAAAATAGAGTTTCAGAAGTTTAGAAAAGCTAATGGAGTCAAATAAAAACGAGAAACTGCGCTTAATTCTTGCGCAGAGAATCGCGCAAGAATACACTGGTCTATCTCATTAATGAGTGACTTTCAAAACTTGGGACGTCGTCAGTTCTCCTCGTCGTCTCATGACGATCAGAATGATATATAATGTTGCAGGGTTTCGTTGAGATCCCGCCGAGATCTACGACCAGAGCCAAATGCCCCGTCGGCTCTGGTCTGTCTCCGCTGCTTGTCTGCGTCTCCGCGCGCTGCGCGCTACCTCGCTATCCCAAACGCGGGCGCGGGGCATTTGGCTCTGGTACCCTTTTCTTCGCTGTTTCGAACCCAAATTTTGCAAGTTATATATCATTTTGAAGCTCTTGATCTCTATTTTCACGTTGACAACGTCCCAGAACCATATTTTTTGATTTGATCGAGAAATCCGGCAAAAACCTTGTTTTCGAAACTCCCTTGTTTTCCTCCTAGTTTAACTTTTTTCACGCGGTTTTTTCGTGCATTCTATAGATCTTGCTTCTGTTCATAATGCTGACAACCACCCAGCCCTTACCTCTTCGATTATGGTGGAATTTTTTGCGAAAAATCGTAAAAAGTGCGTTTTTCTTTACTTTGTTCTGTTTCAGTGCTTTCGCATCGAATTTTTTTCAGCTTGGCGCTTGTTGCTCAGAACAATAAGCGCAACAATTCAGACAACGTCCCAGGAAACAGGAACGTCAATGCGGGGGCAAAAATTTAGAGGACGCATCAAAAATCAAAACCCCGTGTTGCGAATTGGTGGTCCTGGAGCGAAAACTTGCACTTTGAAAAGCCGCCAAATGAAAGATTTCAAACTTTATTGCAGCGTTTTTATCCGGTTTTCAGCAGTTTCTTTTGCTTTTTATATGTTTTATGTCATTTTCTCTTCTCTGATCTTCTTCAAACAACCTTCACTATTTATGACGTCAGATGTTCAAACAACCTTCACTTTTGGCGCCCGGTCTCTAGACTATCGAAGGTATGCTTTAGAAGAGAAATCACGTCTATATTGAAATCACCAAGAATGACTGACTCAGCCGGAAGTGCGCAAAGGTCCAGCAAAACATTTGCCAACGTTTCATCATCTTCAACAGTAGAGGAAGGTGGTCGATAGATAAGTATAAACTCAGTGAAGAATGGGAAGGAAGCGAAAAAATGTCCAAGCACAGAATATCTTATTTCATTTGTTGTGTGCAATCTATCCGTTGCACAAGCAGATCATTTTTTACTAGACAACAAACTCCACCTCCTCTTTTGCCCTTGCGACATATGACTCATAGACAGATTCTTTGGCTGTTCCCAAACAAACACAAAATGCTTTTGGTAGGCATAATGAGTGTTTAGCCTGTATCTGGCATAGTGGAAGAGGTAGAATCAAGCGGAAAAATAGATCTTCCGTACGTGTAAACAAAACAAGGTTTCGATTTCTTCCGGATTTTCTTAGTTTTCACGATTGAATTGGTAGTTTGCAATGCTTAGTGATCATTTTTACAGTACTTGCTCACGTCCTTTGATAGGGTTTGTGTTCATATTGCATTACTCTTTGCATCGTTGTTGGAAACCTTTAATTTGGCTACATCATAAAGATACAATAATGTCCAACATTCTAGAAAACAGATTTGCCTGATATAAAACAATAACAACACATTCCAATGACTATATAGTACGACACAAGAATAAAGTGTGGTTGCTAGCGCATATAGGAAATGGAAATCCAGAAATGGTGAAAGGGCGGAATGAAGTTAACATACCGCAAATTAGTTATGTTGAAAGAACAACGTGGTTTGCAAATATGTTTGAAATCATATTCTGGACAAACACTCCTCAGAACTTCTGCAGACGCACACGCATTGGTTTAATCACTTGAAGTTAGAGATGTGTAAACGTGAATGCAATAAGTGGTTAATGGTGTTATTGGTGTGCCAGAAGATCATAAACGGTATATTACTACATGGAAACAGATCTATTGGATGAGAGGAAAGGCACCTTATAGACAGCAAATATCTTCCGCAGCAGTTTTCATGCCGGCAACGGTTTGCCCGAACATTTGAGTAACATCCTATTAAACCGTTATCGAATGTGTACATTATGTTGTATGAAAGTCTACACCCAATGCGACTAAGATTAGTAATGAAGAAAAGTTCTCATAAACGTCAAGATGGATTAGATCGTGCCTCATCTGTGCATCATTGCTGGTACTACTTCACGATCATATAGCACACCACATCAATCCTAACAAAGTCTATTCATAATGCTTGAACAAGGAATAGGACACTTTGTCAATATCAAACGAATCTGAGAAGACGTGTAAAATATAAGGCGAGAAAAGGGTGTATTAAAACTAACAAAGTATACGTGACAAACAATCTGCGAATAATTATCACTATTAATGAAATATCACCCTACATTTTTGCACAAATCCCACTTACCAGTTTGTTTTTCGTGTTTGTGATCGTATAGAGAAAAGATAATAATAGTGAAGTGTTCATACCGTTCCTACTTTTTACCATTTTTCTTTGAAGAGAACAATGAATGAAGGATACTGCGTCGTTTTGGAGCGGCACCGACTCCTTGACCAACTTCGAACGATTGCACTGCCATGGTGGATAGACTCCTGGCGCTGCCAGAACGGAAGGTTCGACCACACAATGTACTGCGGGAGGTTCCAGATGGTCTAGATAATAACAATCATGTCTTTTAAAAAGCCCTATAATGAAAAATCTGGAACATAACGTACGGTCTCTCAGCGGTGTCAGCAGCAACCATCTGCTTCATGTTGTCCAGCAGAGTACGTATTTTGAAAGGATCAAGCTCTTCGCGCAAGTCCGGCTGTGCGGAAGATGTTGATGGCATCGGTACCACACCACCACGCATCTCCCCAGATGGCCCCGGATCATCGGCCAACAACAACATCTGCTCGGAATCATCTGTAAGCAGGTATTGTGCAAGTATTCAATCTCGGTAGCTTCTCGTGAAGAGCAAGATAGTGCTAACCTGCTCTTGGATAAGCAACGACAACACGTATTCGATCAGAACGTCTGCGCTGGGCGCTCAGAGTCGGGGTTTCATCCACATATGATCTGAAAATCAGGTGTGCACTTTAGAAAGAATACTGAACAAAAGGATAATGTTGAATACAACATCTTTTCATCGATCAAGCACCATCTTACACCCTTTTACAGAAGGTGTACTAAACATGCACCGTGACCGAACTCACTTATGTTCAGTTGAAGATGTAGATGGAGTAGCACAAGTATACGTCTGGACATCATCTGTAGCTGAAGTGAATTGTATTATGAAACGAATAGCAGAAGCTAGACATCCGAGAGATAATTCTCAGTTGCTCCTCGCTTTTTAGGCTCTGACGAAGGCGAAAACCCGAAACGTGAGCCTAATAAGGGGCTTTAACAATCTTGGCTATATAAGGCTCAGCAACTGCACATAATTGGACAATTTCTATTTCTCTTTGTCTATTGTCGCGCTGAGCCTACCGACGGAGTTCGTTTCTCTACCATGAGAGCTTCTCGAGGCGGGTTTAGCTTCTTGGGTAAGATCAAGGCTTCGCGTTTGGGAAAGTTAGACGCGGCGGAAGAGGAACACTGGGATCGCTTAGAAATGACTGTCCATTTTCCCCATTTTCCAGATACTATACTAGAGTACCGACAATGCAAGCAAATCAATAACAAATGAATTGGAACCTAGAAAATTTGTCAAATATTCAGCAAAAGCATGTTTTTAAAAGCACCAACCGTGGTCATGATGTGAAGCAAGGATGCGAGCTCCTGTACTTTCGCTAAGACTTTTCGAATCTAATACGGAGCCAGCTAATGCCTATAAATATACATTGTCGACACAGCCGGAGTAGATAAATCATGTGAAAGTGTTAAAACTCAAATATACCTTTGTACTAGCAGCTTCGTCACTATATGATATTTGTTCATGGCCTGAGTAGAATGTACGAACACTCTGCAATCGAGAGTTTGCTTAGGATTGATGCTAGCGGAATTTCTATAAAGAACAATGTAAGAGAAACCTTATCATCGTAGTGATAATGGGACCCCGCCATGGCACGTGTACTAGCTTCCTCATAGTTGATTCTTTCGCAAAGGCTATTCACACCTACAAAAAAAAAATCAAAGAAACATGCATAGAACAGCCAAAGGAGAGACTACCAGAGTCTACACTTGTTCGCCTGCGGATGTCATTGACAGCAAGTCGTACGTGATGCTGAATACCGCCAGATATTCCACTTTGCAAAGAAAGTTCAGCGACAAGTGAGGACCCATCCGGTCTGTCCATCTCACTCAGCAACTGAGATTTGTCCTGATCTGGAAAAGTAAAAACTAGTAAAGTGAATATAAACAGCAAAAGTAACAAAAGCTCGAGTGGATTTCTAGAGAATGATATAAAAATTACGAGAAGCTAGAGTCCAAAGATCTTCATCGTTCAAAGCGTCTGTTTGCGTATTTGGTTCAGAAATCCCGCAACCTCCATTACGACAGAGAGATAATGGAACAACTCCATAAACATATGCGAGCATGATCGGTACTCCAACACCTAGAAGATATCTATTGTCATTGACTATAGCTCTGGTAAACTCGTGCTGCAATCATACAATGACTAACCCACAGCCATCACAGCGAGCACGGGGCTGATAAACAATGAACCCACAACACATGCAGCAGTGAGGAGACGTCGACGCGCATTTGAGTGATGCGCGAGACGTTGATGGACTTTCCTCAAACAACAGATTCAACTCTGCACTATGCTTGCAATATGCATAGCAAGTTGGTAAGCATACCTCCCGACAAATACTGGAACGCCAAAAATAATCCCAGGTATCGAAAGTCCAGCAATTATGGCTATGCCTACAGGTGCACCAATCAGAGTACCTGGAATATAATAATGACAATGCTGAGACTTGAACAGCGCAGTAACAAACCTAACTGCCAGAGTAGCTTCTTTTTGCGAGTCCAGGGTTTCTTGCCCCAAAAGGTGCATCCGGTCGGACTAAATCGAAGTGCCTACTTATGAATAAATGTATGATAGAAATGTGCCCACCTTAGATAGTGTAAATCACTTATTTCCTTCAGACACAACCAACAGAACTCGGCGGAACACATAGCACAGACCATGTGATTGCAGGATCCATCATCCATCTTGACTATATATGTATGACAACGAGGACAAGCTTTGATATCACCAGCTGCAATGATATATGAAAGGATAAGAGAGTGGCTGTGTTGGAGCCATACGTTTAAGCTGAATATCAAGGGATGAACTGGTTATTCGACGAGCACTTCTGAGTGTTGGTGCTCCTCGCTGTCGTCGTGCTTCATCGCAGGTTTGACTTGGATGCCAGACGCCCTGAAAAGTGGTGTTTCCTGGCAAAGAACGTACTCCAACATGGTTGTCAGAAATGCGATTTATATGAATCGACGCGGCCTTGGACCCCGATTGAAAATCCGTGTTTCTCATTCAAAATCCTGTTGCAACAATAAGACATGAGCGTCTTTGGTACACATAATGCAACGCACAGCCAAGCTAGATGAATCTCCACATGATAACGCTCAAGAACCGTTCCTCAAAAAGCTTGAGATAGGCCAGATCACTATATTATCAGGGGCATCCTTGGAGCTGCTCCGATCCAATCAGCTCATAACGTCGACAGACCCCCCCCCCCCCACTTAGTGGCCGACTCGGTTCCCTCTCTGGCCCTTCACGTCTTTCAGCGCCATTCCTTCGTCGGCATTCAAACCATTGCAGCAGAGGCTAGTATAGATAGGGTAAAACGTCTGCACTGCACGTCGCTTTCGCAATGCAGAGTTTTCAATAATTTGAGCAATTTCAACTCATATTTTAACCTTATAGCCTTATGAAGATCAGGAAGGCACCGCACGAAAGACTGCCGCAAAGAGAACTACTCACGCCGAGCAGCCTCAAATTATCACCCTCTCGTGCTCGCCGCCACCTCACTTCCTAGAACAAAAATGAACCCATGACAGAAGGCGTCGCGAGGAGTAGAAAAAGTAATGTCATCAACGTAATATCACACTAGTTAATTGTAAAGTAGGCCGCAAACAGTCAACACCTAGTGCAGAAAAAATTATAACAATTTCGAAAAAAAACTTACTTTACAATGATAACAAAAGAGTGTTCCACAAGAAGCTCTCTCACATTTTAGCTGAGGGCATGCAGCACAGGATGTCGCAATGACGGCATACCTGAACACCCAGATTGCTATAAAAAGCTTGCATAATTTTTCTTGGATATACACGGCTATGGTGTGAAAGAAAATTTCGAAATCAGCATTGGAATGCGCATTTTTGATATGCGCTACCGGATAGATAAACAACTATGTCTCGCTATTCTAGCTCTAATTACGAAAAAATGTTAACTAAAGCCTTCAAGGTCAGTATTAACAAATTGGGAGATAGCATCGATCAGTAAAAGATTTCCGTTAATCTTTCACTATTTACCAAGATTGCGTCCAAAGCTACAAGATGGACGATTAAAAGATAGCTCCATTTCTTCGAAAATAATAATAAACAACTTATCGAAACTCAAACTTCAGAATTTTATGTGGGGCGTGTCAGTATATTTATAAGGAGGTTAAACATTTTCTTCCAAGTGCCATTCTAGATTTTGATTTTGCCCTATGCTCAATAAATGCGTCTTATTTTTAGATGCTCATGTCTTCAAGTCTGTCTTTCGTATTTTCCAAGAGTGTTTCCGCGTAAACAACTGGGAATTGTTTCCACAAGGACCAAGAATCTCCACCAAGATTTTCTGCTCACTTATCTAAGTTTCTCCGCAAAGCTGCGCTTCTAATTATCTCTTACGGATACAAGCGGCACGCCTTCGGGAACGGCCATAGGTTGCCGGCAACGGTTGTCGGTGTCGGGTTCAGAGACAGCTCAGAGAGCGCGCGAAACGTGGAGGCTATAATGGGGTCCTAGAACGAGCGGTAACATCGGCAACCCCGGCAACACCGACAACCGTTGCCTGCAACCTATGGCCGTTCCCCTCAGTTCCTCCTGCACCACCTATGCAGCACCTAGCTTCCAACATATACATCGAAACAAAGAAAAAGACTTTACCCGCAGTCTGGAGCAGGACACCAACGTGCGTCTGGCTCTGTCATGAGATATCGGCGCACACTGAATTGCTCATACTTCTCTATTAGATCCGTTCGTCCGCCTGCCAGAGCTCTGAATATCATCAGCATTTGCGGGCAGCCTGGTCCCCATAAAACTGATAACGTTTACTAACTTAATATCCAGTGGATGGAGATGTGCAGCGCACTCTGGACAAGATACTTCGACACGATTCTCCATTATCTCCATTTCGACATACTGACAAAATGTAAGCATAAACGCACGATGCGGATGTGAAAATATCTACCTGCATTAGACACAAACGACAACTTCTGTGTTGGCAGCAAATTAGTCGCGGAAAGTTGCTGGAAGGTTGCCGCATACAACAGAGAGGACACTCAAGTATCTTGCTGCCTCGCACTTGCTTCTTGAATGGTGGGATAAAGCAATGATCACAAAATATTTCGCGGGAGATAATTAGTACAATGTTGATAAACTGCAAAAATGTTGCCAGCGGTACTAACTTTCTTATTTGACATATCCACACGCTCCGCCGCCTGCATACGGCTATCACTAAGTGGGAGCACTGCGCCACGACCACCAGTATCATCGTCTTGACAAAGATTAACGTCAATACTGAGATTCCTAAAAACTAACATTTTTGAATGAACATCTTCTGCTTGAAAAGGGAGATTCGGAGCACAATTCTTGGGATATTTGTGGGATGGAAACAGCATAGACAGAAAAGATAAGGCATGGTGCAAAAAAAAATTGCCCAATAATCGAAAATGAGCTAACTCAAAACAATTTTCCAGAATGATCCAAGATTAGAAGTGAGTTTCGCAATCTATCAACTGACCTCCGATTTGTTCCAAGGTTAGTACTTTCATTTGAGCGAAGATCGGTGCTGGATATACTGGACATTGCTTTAGAAGGTTCTTCATAAGACCACTCCGAGCGTTGTCTAGAGGAAAGGTTTTTACCAGACAGAATTAAAATCGTTATCTTGTGTAATTACTCATCACCATGGCAAAGTATCGTTCATTCGTTGACCGTACGGACTGCCGACAGCGTAGCAACTGCGACGCGTGCCTTCTAAACTTGCGAAAAAGTGACAAGTTGGACCGTGGCTTAAGATGAGAAAAATCCTCTGTTTTCTTTCTATTCATCTTTTCTACGAAAACATCATGCACGCGCAGCGGTCGCCGCGCGGTCAGCAGTCGTTACGGTCAACGAATAAACGATATACTGCTCCATTCACAAATGATAACTTTTGTGGGTATGAGTAACGGCTAACCATACACATAAAGGCTACTGCATGACGAAAGCGCAGTAGCAGTATTAGTTGAGCGGGCGCGAACTCGGCGTGCGGGTATCTTCACCGTTGTAGATCCTGCGCCTTATGCGCTCTGCGGCTAATACAGCCGCGTTCGCGCCCAAGGGTATTGCGCTTCGTCATGCAGCAGCCTTTATACGATTTATACAGGGTGTCCCAAAAAGATATACACAGTATTTGTCCTTAATAACTCTCTTGCTTTCACGCCTTGCCGGGCTTGAAGTACCATCCTACAGAGCAAAGTTCAACTTAGTTTTACATTATGGAGCAAATCGCCAGTCACTCTTCATTACTATAGGACTACGGCACTTCGAGAAGGATTTCAAGCCATTGAAAGCGGTATTTTGCCTCAAAAAGAAAGCTAAAACCAGAAACTCTTGCACAAGGCTAATCGAAGTCGTGATTCTAAACATATGATTTGCATTTCAGCCTAGTGCTTCTTTCATAAGCTGTTTCAGATTTAGGGTGAAAATGTTTTTCCAATATTCGTCAGGAATGCGATTACGCCATCAAGAAAGCTCGAAAAACTGGTGAAAAGTTATGTAGTGAAGTCAGCACGCCTACCCTGCTGAACAAATTTCAGAGTTTTTTGAAAGTTCATCAAGGCCCTATTACACAGTGACGCTGTATGCTGGAAGTTTGTACCGTAATCCTACAGTAATGAAGGCGATTGGTGGTTCGCTCCATACTGCAAATCTAAGTTAGACCTCGCCCTACAAAATGGTGCCTTAAGCTCGGTATAAGACATGAAAGCAAGGGAGTTATTAGCGATCAAACAGTGTGCACATCTTTTTGGGACAATCGTCAGTTGAGTTAAGAACTTGGGAAACAAGTCATTTTTGAGTATACTGATCAACTAAATGAACTTCGTCATATGCATAACATATGGTCTGTCTACAGAAACTACCACGGTCTTTATCTACTCGCATATGTTCTGCGTAACCAGCAAGATTTCATGCTGTGAAAACGATTATTAAGGATATGGCAATGACAAGTTACGGAAGTAAAGGCTACCGCATGACGAAGGCGCAATATCTTTGGGCCGAACGCGGCTTTATTAGCCGCAGAGCGCATGAGACGCAGGTTTTATAATGGTGAAGATACGCGCGCGCCGCGCTCGCGCCCGCTCAACTGATACCGCTTCTGCGCCTTCATCATGCAGTAGCCTTTACCTACAGACTTTCCTGACAGTTCATATGTGTGCAAGTGATTTTGAAGATACTGATATTGCTGTGAATGTTAATGCAAAACAGGCTTCCAAAAGAATTAGCCACGAGAAGTGGGGCCCACTAAACTGAAGCAGAGACACTGGTACGATATCTTAAATTATGACACTCGCAATGTCTACCTCATGTCATCAAGTAAAAAACTCCAGTACTTCTATGGGGTTAGTAACCAATTCAAGTTCAACCAATATGTTCGTCAATGATAAACTTATGACATAAAATGCAAGCAACACTTCTCTGCCCAATTTAGCCGCGATCGATCCATCTGAAGTGACTTTGTGACAAGTAATGTTTGATATGAAATTTCCTGTAGTTGTTTGATGCGATGCTCAGCGAAAATGTCGAATAAACAGGTTGCTATGCTAACTAACCCGAACTTATCAAAAAAAAACATCAAAAATGCAATCAACTGCATTTTCATGAGGACTTCACCATCAACTTTATTTTCGACCGCATGATACTGAAAGTGCTCGAAACTCTAGGCTTCTAGAACTTGGACTGATTACGTGATAAAAAAAATGATGTCAGTCTTGCAGTGAAGATGGCCAAGACACTAATCTACATACGCGCCGACTATACCGCCGACCGCCGATATACTATCGACTGGGCATAAATTCAGACACATTGAAGTGATAGGATGAGTAAATTCTAGAGAAAGGAGTTTTTGGTAACCTGGATTACTCATACCAAGTCTTTGCCCTGACAGTACAAACTATGACACAGACCAGTTCATGAAGTTTATTTATCTTCCAAGTTTTAGATCCTATTGGGTTATGAAAACCCAACCTTGGTCCCACATCGTAGGCAATCACAAAAGCTTTAGAACCGTTTGTATGACAGTAAAAAATGAAAACGAGAAAAAAATTTAGAAAAAATAAGATACCTGTCTTTACTTTGCCTATTTTGATTGGTTGTCAAGGAAAGGAGGCTAGTGAGACTTAGCCGAGATCCTTTGCGTTTCCGCTGCGTTGAAAAAAGCTCTGTGCCAAGCTGGGCTTGGACATCAGGGCGCTTCGGATGGTAGCCACTGTGTGTTGCGTGCGCCACGTCTAAAATATATGTTCTAAACAGGAAGGAAAAATGTAAATCATGGAAAACCTAGCAAAAGAAAACTGCTCATGTGTCTAATTTGCTGCATAAAGACAGTGAATAAGACTGCAGTGAAAGAGAAAAAAACGACTAAAAACGTGCTTCCCGGACAAAAGTTTTTGAGGGTGAAAAATGCTAATGTTCCGACTGCATAGATGAAGTTCAGGGAGATAGGAAGTGAAATTACTGATCAACAAAAACGCGATATTCCGTTCCTTCAAATGCCCACGACAGTCCTACAAAATCATCAACCAAATCCTCTACCCTTCTGACGACATTAAGACTTAAATCATATTGCAGAGCCTAAAAATAAGCTGAGTCACTCCTTTCCCAATAAATAGTAGCGACAACGCCAGCTAAGGCCGGGTTTATACTGATCCGTAAGTTCCGGAACAGTATGAACCCAGCCTAAGGGATTGGGCTTCATGTGATTTCCAAAAGATGCATTCACTTACGGCTAGATTTACGAAAGGTGACTGATAAGGACACTATTACCACGATATTACCAAACTTCTTCAATGATTCGAACCCGCTACATACATTTTCATATAGTCACAACCGTCAGTAAGGCAATGCAGAGCGAAACTCAAACTATTTTAAGATTTATGCAACATGGACGTTGCCTGTGCTAGGCCTTACCCAACTATAACACTGAAAAAACTTGTCGCACCAAGTTGCTTGGCAGAAGTATGGCTACAGATAAATCTGCTTGGCATCTTTACTAGCTCCCACTCTTTCGACATACGAAAGAGCTTGCGTTCATACTCCGAATATAGGCAAAAAAGATAAGAACGATAAGTAACCTTGAGCAGGATCGGTGGCGTCCTGCTCGACAACTTCAACTGTTTCTGAGCACTCAACGAGAGGGCATAGCCCCTTTTTGTTCATGAGTTACTGCAACTGAATTATGAAACCTCCGTACAGCAGGTAACAAAATGAAAAAGTCGAAACGCCACACGACTGTATGAAAAACAACACTTGATAACATGTAAGATTAGTAAAATGCAAGCAGGCATAGATATCAGAAACAATAGAATTCCAATGCATCACCAACTTCGCTAAACATCGAAAATCTACAACTGTCGATAATGCATTTGACAAGACCACAGATTATGGATCGATGCGCCGCAGCATGCGCCACGCTCACCCCAGTTCATGAAATTGCGGTGGAGCGTGGTACTTGTCGCCTGAACAAAATCATGAATCATCACTGATGAATTCCGTAAATTCTCTCTTTTTCTCTACTCCTTGTCACAACAAAGGCAACAAATCCTGCTACTTGTTTGCTTAATTTTAAGACAATCAATCGCAAGTCAACATATTTGGGGTCACGGGATGGAATCCTAGCTTAGCATTCAAGTTTTGCAGCCGAAATTGTGCCAGGCTGTAGAGCAAGTTCGCTGCATTCGACCGTAATAGTTTTTCTCCTTTATCTGAAAAAGAACAAGCGAGACAATTTCTTTCCTACTCGATATGTTGCTAATTAGATCTTGACAACACTCCGTGTTTAGGTTAGTTCAGAACCCCAGAGAATGTCATCACCGGGTTCATCGCATTCCAGTGTCTACAGCCAAACTGTCATCTATGTTCCATGTGCTCCAGATGTGTGCTGGAACAGGTATGTCCAGGAATTCAACTGCTCTGCAAAAAAATGTATTCCATCCTACTGACTTTTGTGGGATCATATGTTGCACTTCACAGAAAAAAAGCAGAAGTTCGTCTTGTTTCCCACTAAAACAAGTCCGACTGAAAGGTATGAAACGATTGTAATGTATATTGTGTGACAAACGCATGTTGCTTAACGAAGGCTAACTCGTTCAACCTAAGCCTGCGCTCACGGTAAATACAGGCGCTCATCCCGTGCGTAGCACCTTGCAGAGCCACATCTTGATACAGCTATTATTGATTTGACTTGCTTCCCTCTTCTTCTTCAATATCAACACGGTACGATAGCGGGTCTTCCAATCAAGTGGTTACTCAAGTCTCGCTGCAAAATTTGAGTGCTGAAGAGAGAGATTTGCTGCGAGTTATAGGGCTCCGCATGAACGTGGAGGTTGGTGAGGTTTGCGGTCATTGTGCAGCGCACGCGCACATCGCTGAAGTTAGGCTCGAAAGCCTTGAAGGCAGTGTCCAGGCAAATCTGAGCACATGGGGTTTATACCTGGAAACTGATGAGGGGGTCTTAACGGGTAGGGGAACGAAAGCCGCCAGCTTCGGTCGCCTGCGCGGACTGCTGGTCCTGGAACGACATGCAACAACGTTGCGAAAGGACCAGTTAGCCGCGAAAGGCGGCTCAAACTGGCGGCTTTCGTTCCCCTACCCGGTCTTAGCAGGCACTGCCTAAACCGCACGCGCCGCGACCGTAGCTCGCGAGTAACTTGAGACGGTTCCCAGCGCGAACGTAGTGTTGAAGGCAGCATCCAGGCAAATCTGGATCTATGGGGCTCTCACGTGGAAAGTAATCTTGAAGCTCTAAATAAGACTCTGCCCAAACGGCAACTCAGATAGTGCACTCACGGCTAAGATATTGGGCTCCAAACTATGCCCCGTGACCATATTCGCATGGATTCGTGGCGCTTTCGCGCGAAACTGGTGCGAAACCCTCCACACGAAACTGATGTGCCGAGCCATGAATCCATGCGAATACGGTCACGGGGCACAGTTTGGAGCCTAATATCTCAGCCGTGTGTGCACTATCTGAGCTGCCGCTTGGGCAGAGCCTTATTTAGGGCCTCAAGATTACTTTCCACGTGAGAGTCCCATAGGTTCAGATTTGCCTGGACGCTGCCCTTGAAGTGAGGGAAATTTTTGGTTATGGTCGCGGCGCAGGCGCGAAGGGGTTTGGAGACGAATTTCTCACCCATGAATGATTTGCACTGCCGCTTGGACAGTGCGTTAGTTAGGACCCCCTCATCAGTTTCCAGCTGAAAACCCTATGAGTCCAGAATTGCATGGACACTGCCTTCCATTCCTGCGTTTTTCTTTGCATTTTACGCGTTTTTTTTGTTTTCAGGTGGTGAGTACGGTATCATTCACGGTTTCCGGCCTAAATTTGGCTCTTGGTGATAGGCAGGCTTAGTCCGCTCCGGTCGCGGCCTCTACGTCAGAAGGTACCCCGCGTACGCGACTGCTTTGCCGCGCTAGCCGCGCTAAAATTTTGGGACCCAAAAAACTGTCCGTTGCTAGAGGTTATCGGCTTCAAAAACTGGGAGGGGTGGGGACAGATACATGACTTGACGCCAAAAGTAAAACTGCATCAGGAGTGCTGCTGTTGAATTGGCCGAAGTGCGCTGTGGCGTCGCTTCGCGAAAAAATTGCGCCGACCGTGGCTCCTGACCTTTCCCGCCGTTTGGTACCCCTTATACTTTGGACCGAATTGAATGATTATCCGACTACTCGAATAACTCTTTGACTGCGAGGGATTCTAAGATTCGGATATCTGAAAATCAGAGATTTTGCATTATATTCTATAGTCGTATATTCGAAATTTTTCATTTTCGATTATTACTCGAAAATCGCATATTCGAAAAACTCAACTTTCGAATATTATTTGATACGAATATTCGATGATCATCAATTCGAGTATTCGGTGTTCGTCGATTCGAATATTCGCCAAGCCCCAAATATTCAAAAATTTGATGAGCATTGTCTATTCGAAATTTTGATGAGAATCGTATATTCGAAAATCCGATATCCATAGCATATATGATGTCCTAAAAGTATCTAAACACTGTTTGGCCACATTTCTCCTAGGAAGTCTTTGATCCACATTCTGTAGGGCTGACTTTAGCGTGCATTTACAGCAGAAGGCTGGTCACCCATGCTTTTTATTATTCTAAGATAGTAAGAACTTTCAGATAGAGCAACTGCGAAGTAAGATGTTAGAAAGTTCTCCAATAAAATCTAAAAAAGTTGTTTCGCAGAGTTTTCATGCATACTGATTTTACTACGCAACTGCTCACGAGTTAAGCTTCTCAGGTGTGTAATCGCGTTTCTGAGCAGCGCTGAAAAATATCTGTTACTGTGTACGCGGCATAACTTGTGAAAAAACTTTACGGTTGAGTGCAAAATTTATATTCAAAGTGAGTAACTCAAGAAGTCTGATGAAAGACTTGCTTTTCTGGTTTCCTTTTTGAGACAAAAATGCGGCTTTCAATGCCTCAAAACCGTCTTCCATTTTTCTACGTAATCCTACAATAATGAAGAACGATCGACAAGTCGCTATATACTGTAATTTTGAGTTGAGGTCGGCCCTACAGAATGGTACCTAAATATGGAGGGCGCGCAGGAGTTCCTGCACCTTTCCTCGCACCAACTTCGCACCAGCATTCGCACCCAGGAGGGTTCGTGCCTCAGAGGTCAGGCCCCTCCCATCGCTCCACCCATTTACTGGTCTCATTGTGAGGTGTGCAAGCAGCGAGAACATGGATTCAGGTACTAAGGTAATGAAGAGAAATGGAGAAGAAACGAAGGACATATTCATCATTTCTTTTTATCAGTCATTCATGGATTCTGAAACCTTAAAGAAATCTAGAATTTTCTTTCCTGTTTCTTGATTTCAGATCTATTATATCAGTGCCATAGTAGAGTGCACGTCTTACACTGCGTGTACACATTTCAAAATGAGGGCACCTAGGGGGAGGAGTGTGGGCGGAGCCGTCCTCGGGCCCCGATATAATAGAACTGAAATCAAGAAACAGAAAAGAAAATTTTAGACCTTTTGAGGTTTCAGAATCCGTAAATGACTGCAGCTGAATCAATACGAGTTATGTTATACCCATGTTTTTGGATAAAATGGCGCTTCCTTAAAAACTTGTAAGTTCTCGAGCTTGCGTGAGTTTGTGAAGTATATCGTATTAACAGAAATCAAGCAGAAGTCATGAGTCTTCCAATCATAGTACATAACAGAAAAGTTCATCAAATTAACGCGAGTTCTAAAATTAATCTAAGAATACAGCAAATTACCATTATCTTGCAAATTTAGTGTATTTGGAACTCTTACTGTTAGTCAACTCTTCGATTGTGGGGCAAAGGCTAGTATTAGTACATAGATTGTAGGAAATACTACACCTGAAATTTTTTTTGATAATTTGGATCTTATGATCATTAGAGGATTTGGAACGAAAACTCATTCGAATATATGATGCAGACAAAAGTAGAAAAGTATAAGTGCTAAGATATCCTGACTGTTGGAGAAAGCGTTCAGTTGCGTATTCAGAAACTTTCACAAACTCCTTTCAAAATAGGACCTTCTAATGTTGAGGAGGTAACTGGGTTCTTAAACTTCTGATGCTAAATCAGCTCAATCAGGACCAGTAATGTACAATTGATCAACTAGGTCCTCCAATATTTCGAATGACCGGGTTTTTTACTCAAAAAATTCTGTGCGATTTCTTTTTCTGAAAATAATGTTCAAATGCTCTTTTTAAGAGGATTGCGTAGCAGAAGTTTCCAAGCCGCCTCACTTGAGAAATGATAAATATGTCCTTCGTTTCTTCTCCATTTCTCTTCATTACCTTAATACCTGAATCCATGTTCTCGCTGCTTGCACACCTCACAATGAGACCAGTAAATGGGTGGAGCGATGGGCGGTGGGGCCTGACCTCTGAGGCACGAACCCTCCTGGGTGCGAATGCTGGTGCGAAGTTGGTGCGAGGAAAGGTGCTAGGAACTCCTGCACGCCCTCCAAATTCAGGTTGCCGCATGGGGACCATCCAAACATTTATACCCTTCAAATGAAAAAAAGAAGACCATATAAACTTCTATCATTTTGAGTTAGGTCGTCAAAAACCTGTACCGCTGCGGAAAACTCTTACTTAAGTACATAGGTTTTTTGACCTACTCTTTACAACTGTGAAAACTTTGTGCTGTTTGGATGTGTCTGTAAAAACTTATGATTTTCGAGAAAAATGTCGAATTAATTGATTTTGGCATTTTCTATAGTAAAATCGAAATTCGTAACTTTTTACAGGAATGTCCAAACAGCACAAACTTTTCACCATTGCGAAACATAGGTCAAAAACCTGTGCACTCACGTTTTCAGATTTTTCCACAGCCTTTCAGACTTTTGGCAATCTAACTTAATAGATCAAAGTTTATATGGTCTTCTTTTTGCATTTTTATCTCTGCAGTCAGTGTGTATTAGAAGCTAGGAAAGAAAGCATTCGAAAGCGAAAGGCTAACTCTTTCAAATATAATTACAAGGATGCAAATCCGTTGAGATAGTGCAAAGTTACAAATTTTCAAAAATGAAACGACAGAACTTTTGGGACAACCTAATAATCACCCTTATTTCACGCGTATAGCGCCCGAGGGGGGTCGTATTGGGGTAAGAGCATGGGGGGGGGGGGGTCGTAATTAGGAAGAGACTTTGTTCAAAAAATTGGCGATATATTACGATTGAGCAAGCTGAAGAGGAAAAGCGCTCAGCCGTGAAATTCACAATTCCACCAGAGGGGTGAGTGTCGTGAACAGCACGCCGATTAACTCGACTAACGAAGTCAACCAAATTTAATTTCTTTTACCTTACACATACCGTAGGGTCACCAAGTAGCTTTTTATGTAAATCGGGTACGATTTCCGTAATCAGCATGCTAAATTACCTCAAAGAGCTCCACA